TGAATGTATTCCTGTTACGTGTATATATAATCAAAAACTACAAATTGTTTTTTCTATGACGAAAAAGTAATTTCAATTTATAATATGAAGGAAATCGATTTCACATTTACAATCGTGCAGTATAAACGTGTATAAATAGATGATAAACTTTCGTGTTTTTATTAACCATGTATTTCGAGACATGTGAAAATATTATTTTACTTAATAGATTAATAATATTTACTTATTATTAATGGGCTGAATAATTTTATATAAAATTAGGCAAAATAAAATTTGTTTGCATCAATTGCCAAGAAAGATGGAACCAAGAAAAAGATTGTATTTTTTCATTTATTAATCTTTATAAGTTTACGATAATCATCTATTGATATTATTAAATTCTATTAATCTTTGCGGTAAATCCACAGCCTAACTATATATGTGGATTCAAATGAGTGAAAACGATGAATAGTGCTCTGGTTTACACGCTTCAATTGTTATTACTTTTCATCCTAGAATATTCCACTTTGTAATTGGATTTGAATGTCATTGAAAACCGTCCGAGATAACTTATTTGATTTTCGTTAAATAAACATTCCGTTTTTTGCAAATAATCGAAAACTTGCAGATAGAAATAAAAATTATATTATTTTCATATTCCCTGATAATGTACTGTCACAAGCAGTGTCGTGAATTTTATTTTAATGTAAAATAAAAAGAAGTGAATCAACAGACTTTAAAAAAAAGAAATATAAACGATACTAAGTTCATATTAATTTCCTCATAAAATGCTATCACAAACAACGTTGCGTAGTGTTCATTTTGATGTAAAAGAAACGAGAATAACATCTATATTTAGTAGATTACGTTCGAAGTCTTCGTAAGAAGTCTGACACGACATCATAGTGCAAGAGGGGTTAACGGAAACTGATTAATTCCTGCTAACTCGGTGTAACTAAAAGTGGAGGACATTCGAAACGGTTCCTGGGAAAACCATCTACCGCTCACGCGATCGTAGTCCGTGGAATGAACAGGTCAGGGTGCGAAAGTCCTTGTCTTGGAATTCAAGGAACTGTTCGGTGGACCAAATATGGCAGACCGCGTGGGTTTACGATACACCGATAGTTGTTATCGAGACACAGGAACGATTCCGAATTCTAAGGATCCGAGATCTAAGAATGACGATGTATGAATAACAGGAAATGAGTGTTACTGGAATTGTGACGACTAGACTACGGATTTTATGCAATCTTGACAAAAATGATCTGGTTAAAAACAAAATCTTAAAAACATGGGAAAATTTTGAGAATATTTTTATGTTATGTACGACTTTTAAAAATCATTAAAAGAAAATAGCCATTTTCATTCGACTCGCGTGTATTATAATCAAGTTAGACAGTTTCTATTTTGCATAAAGATCCGCAGTCTAGTGATGACGACGTAGGAGGATCTATACCAAGGCGGAAGTTTTAAGAACGTATAACTGAGCTAGAAAGTAATTTACGTACATTTATTGTATTTTATTGTCTATAAATTACACTATGTACTGTCTTACGATCTCCTCTCGTATTATTTCTCAATTCTTATCTCACTTATTTTAAGTTATGAACGATTGATATGTTTAACCCCTTTCCGTACTTCGACGAGTGTAACTCGTGATGGAGATTTCTAATAAACCCGTCAAGTATGAATGTTATTCCGTTCTTTGAAGTTGAAATCAAATTCTCTTCTCTTGTCATCGATATATAAGCATTCGAGTAAATATATTATATTACATTATATTACATTACATTACAGTACATTATGTTATATTATATTATATTATATTATATTATATTTTATTATATTTTATTATATTATATTATATTATGTTATATTATATTATATTATGTTATGTTATATTATATTATATTATATTATGTTATGTCATGTCATGTCATGTCATGTCATGTCATATCATATCATATCATATCATATCATATCATATCATATCATATCATATCATATCATATCATATCATATCATATCATATTATATTATATGATATGATATATTATACATATTATTATATCATCGTGACTGTGAAGACAATGGTATGGCAAGGGGTTAACAAAGTGTTTAGGCGACAGGATGTATTTGAAACAGCTATTCTTCATGAGAATATAAATATGAGAATGCAAATATGGAAAATTCATCTGTTTTTTTATATTAATATCTTATATAGGGCGGGTCACCTAAGATTTTCATCCAAAACATCTTCGTTGCTTTAAAATCATACCAGAAAAAGTGAAAAGAAAAATACATTTAACTCAGACAGGCAATTATTGTAAAAATATAAATGATATTTTTCAAGACTATTACCCCTCTGAGTGAAATATTTTTTTTCTTACGCATTTTCTCGTATCGTTAACAACAACTGAGATATTTTTGGTGAAAATCTTAGGTGACTCACCCTGTGTATATAGTGTAATTATACCACGCGACTGTTATAAAAATCTATTCCAAATAATAGTTAATTGGATTGTATGAACAATTTTTAAAAAGTTGTTCTTTCCACAAGATATCAACGTTATCATGATTGCCATGTCTTGTTCTTCAAAATCATTCTCTTCAAGATATTGTAGTTGTACGATAGTTATTTTTTAAATAAGTTTCCATATTTGTATCGTGATATAATAACTAAAATCAAGATCAATTTATGACCTGAAACATCCATATTCATCCTTGACCAATCAAAAATCTCCTGTCAAGGTCATCTTGCTTTACATAATACAAAAATAAAATGAAATTAACGATACGATGAATAATCCAAAATTAAATGCATTACTCAAAATCATTCTTCGAAAATTTAACGATATTCAATCAGAATTTTGTGATTAATAACACATGCAATAAAGAAATTAATTAATTTCAATTGACTCAACATTAACTGAGATATTAATTTATAAATAAAAACAAATTATGTATAGATACACTGAACACTAAATTCTGATTGTAATTTAAACAATCTTTAACGTACGCATGCAGAGGAATAACAATGAAATTATTGTAAGAAATGTTTGTTGACAATAGTAGCAAATCTAAGAAAAATTGCAAAATTTTTTGTTCGAAAGAAAATATTATCGTGAAAATCCTGTCGAGAAATGAATAACAAATTGAAAATCAGGATTGTGTTAGTAAATGTAGATTACGTTCGTATATACATGTATGTCCATACGTATGTGTATACGTATATGGGCATTTGGTGGAACGAGAAAGTTGGTGGGGAAAAGAGCGTGGGAGCGAGCAACGAACTTGGAGAAAGCGAAAGTTTTGTAAGATGAGACAGAAATTCTTTAAGGTGAACCAAATGAAGCGTATAAAGTCGGCAAGATTTTAGAAAATGAGAAGGAAACAGATTGAAATGGAAATGCCTTACATGTAAGACGAGTGCAAGTTATATAACGTCGCCTTATAGCGAAATGTCTTGAAAGTAAGTATCCACTTCTAGGATGGAACACATAATTAAACGGAATAACATCTGACAAGCAAAAGCGTTGAACAAATTCAACGAAACACTGCAAGTTCTAAACCATCTTTCCAATCTCTTTCCAAATAACCTTTTTCCAATTTTTAAACATTTTTCCCCTACATTTCGTCGTTTAATTTTGATGAACAGGTGAACTACTGATACTAATTTTAGAGTTCCAGGAAAATTATTTATGAACAATACTGATTGTACAGTGTACCAAAATTGTTATTGAACTATCTTGGCCCCGACAATTAATTGGGCCGTTTATTTTGAAAGTGGCCTGAGTCCATTATTTCAAAATCCAGATATTTAAGGATTTTGCGTTTCAATAAATTTAAAAGAATTGGTAACTGATAACGTGGTGGTATAATGTTTTTGTGTTTCTAAGGGTTATCATGTTTCAGAGTCTTTACTGAAATGAAATTATATTGTATAATGTAGAAATGTAAATATTAAAATAGCTAGCTCGATGTGTTTTTGGAAAATGGATTTAGGCCATTTTCAAAATAAACAGCTCAATTATTGTACATTTATTATCTATAGAAAAGTTACCGCGTCTAAAAGGAGTATCCTAAAAACTGTGTCGATCAAAGTTGATAAGTGAAATTATAAGGGACACCACGCATACCCGGTTACATTTTTGTCAAAAATGTCCGTTCAAGTGGTGATTTTATATAATTATGTACCTTAAGAAAAATTGTTCAAACAAACCTGCAGTGGTATATCAGCATCCAAGTCGAATGGTTTCACTTTGTCAGTCCATGGCAGCAGTTTTTTCGTCTCGTCCTCGATAAAATAATTGAATACATTTCCTCCAGGCGGGAATTTGATCGTTTTGAATTCAATTTGCCACCATTTATTGAATTCGCTTCGCCAGTCAATCAACTGATCTTGGAACGTCGCGGATCCAAATGCCCAAATGCAAGCGAATGCAAAGTACAATTCGTGCCTATTTCGTAGCCACGAAACAAATGCATCAATTAGTTGAATAATCGAATTACGTTGAAATTAATAATGCAGGAATTTCATCTTAGCATGCGTACGTACGTCAGACATATGTTGGTTGTGCAAATTTAAATTTTGAAAATTTCATCGAAACCGATTAACGTTGCATCGAGCTAAAAATAGTTAAAGTAACTAACTCTAAGAAATTAACTTCATATATTATATAACATATCTGCAGCTACAGGCTAAAATTTACTAGACAATATCTAAACGAATGTTTTGTAAAATTCACAATAGCTTGGGACGGAAGCAAGTATATAAATTTCTTGAACAATTTCTTCAGAAATTTCTAAAACAATTTCTTAACTATTGGGTCTGGGAAAAAGTTCGTGGCGTTTTCCCGATCGATGTCGTCAATTGTTAATAACTCACGAACAACTTATCGCAACGATGCCACTAAATGCTTTATTTAAAGGTGTCACATTGAACGTAATTTTGAGCGTATAAACATCGTGGTGGCGCAGTACTTGGAAAGTTGTTGGCGTTTGAAAATGGAGAGAAATAATGAGAAATTTCGCTATATTTTACGATATCATTACGATAAAGGGAAGAACGCTGCGTAAGCTTGTGAAAAAATTTCTGCTGTGTATGGTGAAGGTACGTTATCAAAATCGGCTGCGTGGAAATGGTTCGCTCGCTTGCGTTCAGGTAATTTTGATGTGAAAGACGAGTCACGCTCTGGTCGTCCAGTTACTGAAAAAGCTAATGAAATTGATGAAAAAGTCCAGCAAAATAAGCACATTAACAGTGTCGATACTGGTATAGAGCTAGGCATTGACCATAAAACTGTTTCGAACCATTTACACAAAGCTGGATACAAACAGAAGCTGGATGTTTGGGTTCCTCATGAGTCGAGCGCGAAAAACATGACGAGTCGAATCAACATCTGTGACAAGTTGCTAAAACGTAATGAAATCGAGCCATTTCTGAAACGTGTCATAACCGGTGATGAAAAATGGATCACGTACGACAATCGGAAGCGCCAAAGATCGTGGACAAAAGATGGTGAGCCGTCACAAGCGTTCGCGAAGCCGGGATTGACGCTAAAAAAGGTGATGCTGTGTGTGGGGTGGGACTGGAAGGGAATCCTCCACCATGAGGTACTTCTAGTTGGTCAGACGATTAATTCTCGACTCTACTGTGAACAACTGGAGAGATTACGCCAAAAAAAAAACGGCCCGAATTGCATAATAGGAAAGGTGTTGTCTTCCATCGCGACAACGCCCGACCACACATTTCTTTGACGACCCGTAAAAAATTACGAGAGTTTGGTTGGGAAATTCTGATGCATCCACCGTATAGTCCAGACATAGCACCCTCTAACTATCACTTGTTCCGATCTCCGCAGAACTCTCTCAATGGAAT